AGCCCAGCCCCCATCCACCCCCCCCCCACTGAGCCATTTCTCTGCCCCGATCCCAGCTTTGGGAGCCCGTGTACCCCCGACTTCCTCCCGAGATCAACATCTTTCTGGCCCCGCTCCTGGCCCAGCATGGGGAGCAGCTCTGGATGTCTGTGTGAATGGATGTTGGCTCCAGAGTGACTCTGGTTTGGGCTGTGGGCTCATAAGGTCTTTCATGAAGGTGATGATCAGGAGGGACTGGTTTTGGAGCAGGATCTGGGGCTGGGCTCTTATATGGAGGTGTCAATCTGGAGTCACTCCAGAGTCCCTCCACTGACTGCACACTTCTTCCCAGAAGCCTGTCACTGATGGCGTTCCCTGGCTTCCATGGGAACAGGGTTATGGTCCCCCAGGGCTGGATACTGATCTCCAATCTGGAGTCACTCCAGAGTCTGACTTCCATGTAGACAGGCTGCAGCTGCTACTAGTTGCCACTGATGTGGATTCACTCCCCAGATCTCAGTTTGAATGAGAGGGGTGATTGCGGGGGGAGCTGCAAGCCTGGAAATTCCCCCCTCGTCCCCCCACCAGCGGCACAGGGTTGGTACCTGCTGCCTGGTTTCGGAGGTAGACCAGCCGCGTCTTCTCGGTGCCAAAGAGAAGCAGGGAGCCCTCCGGGTTCAGGGCCCGGACCTGGGTGAGACACGGGGAGACACTGAGAGGGAGCGACAGGGAGGTATTCAGAGGGAGTGATGGACACAGATTTAGAGAGAGAAATATTCTGGTGGAAGGCTTAGGTTGGAGAAACAGTTATTCAGAGGGAGAGGGAGCTTTAGATGGAAAGAGCCTTCTGTTGAGACAGGCAGATTTAGAGGGAAGGAGACTGATGTTGAGAGATAAGGAAAAACAGAGATGGAGAGGTGCTCGGATGGAGAAATACAGAGGTATTTAAATGGAGAGATGTTAATGTGGAGAGAGAGAGGGAGAGATGTTTATTTATAGATTCATAGATGTTAGGGTCAGAAGGGACCTCAATAGATCATCGAGTCCGACCCCCTGCGTAGGCAGGAAAGAGTAGGGTAGGGGAGAGCACCACCTCCCTTGGGAGCCCGTTCCAGACCTTGGCCACTCGAACTGTGAAGAAGTTCTTCCTAATGTCCAATCTAAATCTGCTCTCTGCTAGCTTGTGGCCATTATTTCTTGTAACCCCCGGGGGCGCCTTGGTGAGTAAATACTCACCAATTCCCTTCTGTGCCCCCGTGATGAACTTATAGGCAGCCACAAGGTCGCCTCTCAACCTTCTCTTGCAGAGGCTGAATAGATCCAGTTTCTCTAGTCTCTCCTCGTAAGGCTTGGTCTGCAAGCCCTTAACCATACGAGTGGCCCTTCTCTGGACCCTCTCCAGGTTATCCGCAGCCCTCTTGAAGTGCGGCGCCCAGAATTGCACGCAGTACTCCAACTGCGGTCTGACCAGCGCCCGATAGAGGGGAAGTATCACCTCCTTGGACCTATTCGTCATGCATCTGCTGATGCACGATAAAGTGCCATTGGCTTTTCTGATGGCTTCGTCACACTGCCGACTCATGTTCATCTTGGAGTCCACTAGGACTCCAAGATCCCTTTCCACTTCCGTGCCACCCAGCAGGTCATTCCCTAGGCTGTAGGTGTGCTGGACATTTTTAGACGTAGAAAGATATAGAGAGAGAGATGGATAACTCGAGAGAGATACACGGATGAGAAGGACAGGCAGGTACAGAGGGCTTAGGGGTGGATGGGTGGATGGATGGATGGATACACACATAGACAAGCATAGGTGCAGGGGTTTTAGAGATAACTAGATACAGATAGAGAAAAAACAGATACGGGGCTTAGGGCTGGCTGGAGAGATATATACACAGATAAAGAGTTAGAGGGGGCTTAGGGGCAGAGGCACATGGAGAGAGACGGATAGATAGATACAGGTGGTGGGAATATATATATATATACAGAGAGAGAGGGAGGGAGGGAGGGAGGGAGAGGAGGAGAAAACATATATATTCTCTTTAAATATAAAGAGAGCACACATGTGCGCGCGTGTGTATTCTCGTGACATATAAAGAGACTACACATGCATGTATTCTCTTTACATATAAAGAAAAAATATATACGTACCTATCTGTGTATATCTCCAAATCTATATCTGTATCTATTTTGATGGGATTGAGGACACACAGACAGACACATGTACAGAGGGACAGTCAGACAGGGAGTTTAGGGATAAAGGGAAAGAGAGACAGAGAGAAGGATGGGGAACTTGGCGGTGGATAGATACATCAATATTTAAGGGGGCTGAGGACACAGAGATGCCTAGAAAGACAGGCAGACAGATACAGAGGGCTGGGGATAGACAGAGGGACAGAAAGGAAGACGGGGGTGGAGTATGGATAAAGAGAGACAGAGATAAAGACAAGGAACTTAGGGATGGATGGATACGTGTGTATAGAGGGATTAGGGATAGAGAGATATGTAGATAAAGAGACAGACACAGGGGGCTGGGGATAGCTAACGGAAGAGGGACAGACAGAGACAGGCATTAGGGCTAAAGGGAACGAGAAAGATTAACAGACAGACATACAGACAGGAACGGCAAGAAAGATCAGTAAAGGGAACTTAGGGATGGCTGGATGGGGCTGGGGCTAGACAGAGCTGCACAGAAAGACAGACAGACATACAGGGGTTTTAGGGACAGAGAAAGACAGAGATGTAGGTGGCATAGGAGCGCACAGACAGACAGACAGACAGACAGACAGAGATATGTTGGAGGGCAGGCGAGTGACAGAACCAGGGTTTAGGGATAGAGAGAAATAGAGGGACCGACAGATACAAGGGGAGTTCGGGACAGACGGACGGCTATGGCAGGGTAGGATAAAGACAGACAGATAGATAGCAAGACAGACAGAGGGGCTTTAGGAGCAGGAGGGAAGGGGGAAGGATGGACGAACTGGGGCTAGAACCCAGGTGTCCTGCCCCCCCCCAGAACATGCCCCCCCCCGGGGATTTGGGGGGCTGGGGTCTCACCTTACGCAGCGGTACCGTCTGCACCCACTCAGCCTTGCGCACGTCGAAGACGTCCAGGGCGTTCTCACTGAACACAGTCAGGTAGGGAGCACTGTAACCTGGGGAGGGGGGAGAGGAAGTTGTGACCCCCCCAGCCCCCTTGCTGAGATGCAGCTGGCTCTGGGGTGGGGCATGTCAGCAGCTGAGTGTAACAGAGGCTGCTTCTGGCATGGGGCCTGGGAGACGGGACAGGACATGGGGCTGAAATGCAGCTGGCTCTGGGGTGTGACATGTCAACAGCTGAGTATAACAGTTGCAGCTGGCTCTGGGGGTGTCAGGCTGGGGAGACCGGGCCCCTTGCTGAGATGCAGCCAGCTCTGGGGTGGGATGTCAACAGCTGAGCATAATAGAGATGCCTCTAAGGTGGGGTTTTGGGCAGGGGGCGGATATGCAGCTGGCTCTGTGTTGGCAACTGAGTAGAACAGATGCAGCAGAACAGATGGCTCTGGGGGCACTGGGGTTGCGGCTGGCTCTGGGGTGGGCGGCCGGGTCTCCGCAACTCACTCACAGCAGCTGAGAGGCGGTGCCGGCCACATGAGATCCTGGTCCCTCGTCCTCCGTCCCCGCCCGTCCACGTAGACCCCGAGCCCTCCGAAGCAGAGGATGAGCTCCCCCAGGCTGACCTCCACAGCCCGCAGCGCCTCCTGCTGGCCCAGCCCGCGGCTCCGCGGCTCCTCGGGCTGGGGCAGGGGCTGCGGCGCCCCCTCGTTGAGCAGCGGGTACAGGGCGAAGCCGCCAGGGAAGCCCACGCACAGCCGGTCTCCCAGGACGTCCAGGCACTGGACGTAGCCGGGGGCTTGGAGCTCCCGGCCGCGCCGGTACGGGGGGGTCCCGGGCACCAGCTGCACGCACAGCACTTGGCGCTTGCTGGCCAGGCACAGCACGGGGGTGGTGCCCCGGCACAGGACGCCCGCGGCCAAGGCCTGGCAGCCCCGCACCTCCGTCATCTTGGCCCCCGGAGCTGCCGGCTGCCCCAGCTCGGCCCAGGAGAAGAGGCGCACGCTATGGTGGCGCCCGCACAGCACGGCCAGCACCTGGGCCTGGGGGCAGGCCAGCAGCCCCTGTACCCGGCGGCAGTCGCCCACCTGCACCACATCTGTGGGGGGAGAGAGAGGGATAGGGGAGTCACTCTAGTTTGAGGGGGTGGGAGCTGGGGGCTGTGGATTTGTAGGGGGTCTTTCATGGAGGTGTCAATCTGGAGTGACTCTGGTTTGGGAGCGGGAGCTGGGACTTACAGGGTGGTGTTTCACAGAGGTGTCAATCTAGAGTAACTCCAGTTTGGGAGCTGGGACTTGGGATATTTCATGGCGGTGTCTATCTGAAGTGACACCGGTTTGGGGGCCAGCAGCTGGCGCTGTGGATTTGTGAGAGGTCTTATATAGAGGTGTCAATCTGGAGTGGCTCCAGAGTGACACTGGTTTGGGGGTGGGAGCTAGGGCTTGTAAGGCCTCACATGGAGGCATCAATCAGGAGTGACTCTGGGGTGACACTGGTTCAGATAACAGGAGCTGGGGCCATGGACTCACAGGGGTCTTCTATAGAAGTGTCAATCTGGAGTGACTCTTAATAGGCTCCAGGAGTGACTCCACTGACACTGATTTGGGAGCAGAGCTGGGGCCATGAAATTATGGGGGTTTTATGTGGAGGTGTCCATGTGGAGTGACTCTGGCGTGACACCAGTTTGGGGGCAGAAGCTGAGGCAGTGGCCATGTAAGACCTTACACAAAAGTGTCAAATCAGGAGTGACTCCAGAGTGACACCAGTTTGGGGGCAGAAGCTGGGACTGTCAATTGTGGGGGGTCCTATGTGGAGGTGTCAATTTGAAGCGACTCCTAACAGGCTCCAGGAGCGACTCTAGAGTTTGGAAGTGGACTTGGGTCTAAAGACTTCTAAGTTCTTACATAGAAATATCAAGCAGCCGTGACACCGGTTTGGGAGCGGGAGCCAGGCCCATGGACTTGTGGGGGATCTTACATGAAGGTGTCAATCTGGAGTGACTGGAGTGACACCAGTTGAGGAGCAGGAGCTGAGGCTGTAGGTTTGTAAGGTCTTACATGGAGATGCCTATGCAGAGTGACACCTAATAGACTCCAGGAGTGACACCAGTTTGGGAGCAGGGACTGAGTCTAGGGATTTAGCAGTGTCTTATATAGAGGTGTCAATGTGGAGTGACGGACCTCACCCCACCCCCACCCCCCGGGCCTGGCACTCACCATTGGTACGGAGGTGGAGAACGAAGAGCCCGTCCTCGGTGCCCAGTGCGATGCGCTCCCGGTCTGGGGGGGCAGTGGGGTCAGACACCCCCCACAGAGCCAGCCCAGCCCCAGCCCCCTCACAGAACTGGAGAGAACCCAGGCGCCCGGGCTCCCAACCCCCCAGCTCTAACCACTAGACCCCACTCCCCCCAGGGCTGGAGAGAACCCGGCCCCTGGCCCCGCCCCGTGGCTCACCCAGGATGGCGGTGGCCAGGGCATGGGGCAGCAGGGGCAGGCCGCTGTCGTAGGCCTCCTTGAGGGCGAGGACGGGGCGGAGCTGGGGCGGCAGGGCCCGGGGCAGCGCCCCCAGCGCCTGCACCCAGCGCCGCGCCTCCCCCGCACTCTCCGCCAGCAGCAGCAGCGAGCAGCACGTCCGTGGCACCCACAGCTGCAACGCTGTCACCTGGGGGACGGGGCAGCGGGTGCCCGGGGGGGGGGGGGGAGGGGGGCGTCAGGGTTGGGCCACAGGCTCCGCCCCCAGCTCCCAAGACAATTTGGAAGTACTTTAGATTGAAAAGGTTGGGGGTGGCAAATCTGGACGGTCTCCAAATTGCAATGGGGTCGAGCCTGAAGAGACTCTGGGTTGTGAAGAGGTTGAACCTGGTGGGATTCTGGATTGCATTGGGGTGAATCTGGAGTGACTCTGGTTTGCAATGGGGAAAAATCTGAAGACCCTCTGGGTTATAACGGGTTGAACCTGGAGCAACTCCAAATTGCACTGGGGGCGTGAATCCAGAGCAACTCCATATTGCACTGGGGTGGGGGCTGAATCCAGAGTGACTCCAGATTGCACTGGGGGGGAGGATGAATCCAGAGTGACTCCAGATAGCAATGAAGGCAAATCTGGAGTAAATCCAGGTTGCAACAGGGTTAAACCTGGAGAGACTCCAAATTGCAGGGAGGCTGAACCTGGAGGGATTCTGAACTGCACGGGGGTGAATCTGCAGTGACTCTGAATTGGAATGAGGCTGAATCCAGAGAAATTCTGGATTGTGCACGGCAGGGTGTGGGGGGGCAATCTGGAGTGACTCCAGATTGCAATGAATGTGAATCTGAAGCAAATCCAGGTTGCACAGGGTTGGACCTAGAGGGATGCTGGATCGCATTGGGGGTGGAACCTGGAGTCACTCCGGATTACAAGAGGGTTGAACCTGGAGCAACTGCGGCTAGCAAGAGGCCAGAGCCTGATACCGAGTCCCAATCCCAGTCTCAGCTCCAGCCAGGGTTGATTCAGAGTTGCTCCGGATTGGGACCCAGCCCAGACCCCATTGCAAGCTGGTCACCCCAGAGCCCCACCTCTCCGGCCCAGCCCCCCTAGAGCGCCCCTGTGGCCGGGGCCCCACCATGCGTGCCCCCCGCAGCCCGACTCACACGGAAGATGCAGGGCAGGTCCTTGGGGTTGGCGTGGATGACGTCCGAGGCCTGGACCAGCTCCGCCGAGAACTGCTCGGCCCTGAAAGCAGACGGGTCCTGGAGTCAGAGCCCGGGCACCAGGGCCCTGGGCCGGGGACAGGCTGGACCCCAGGGCTTCAGCTAGAATCGCTCCAGACTGCAATGGGGGTAAATCTGGAGTGACTCCGGATTGCAGTGGGGTTCAATCTGGAGGGACTCAGCATTGGGAGGGAGGGGGAAGGGCAGGCCAGGCCTGACCCCAGGCCCAAGGGCTCACCCTGGGGTTGAACCCAGGCACCTGGGGCTATCCCCCCAGTCCCCATTCCCCTGTAGCCTGCACAGGGGCAAAATCCAAAGCAACTCTAGACTGCACCATGGACAAAATCTGGAGTGACTCCACATTGCACCAGGGCATGGGGGGCGGGGCTGGACAGGGTCTGAGACTGGGGGCTCCCTACCGGAGGTCGATGACGTGGGTGGCACCAACGCCGCCGGGCGAGCTCCGGCCCTCGGGCGCCTCGAAGAGGAAGAGCCGGAAGTCGCTGACGATGGCGAAGACACGCTGCCAGCCCTTGCGCACGCCGGCCGGGCGCGGCACCTGGGCAGTGGGGGGCAGAGCGGGATCGTGCCGTCACCCACGAGCACGACTCCCCTCCCCCAGCTGGAGAGAGCCCAGGTGTCCGGGCTCCCGGCCCCCCCCCTCACCCCCTGAGTGCCCACTGCTCCCCCAGAGCAGGAGAGAACCCAGGCGTCCGGGCCAGGCCTTACCGACAGGACCCCCTCCAGTGCCGTCCCGGTGCCAGCCCCAGCACCCAGGCCCTGACGGGGTGACTCAGGGGGTGGGGGGCAGCGCAGGGCCCCCCCTGCACACCCCACGTGGCAGATGAGGCCGCAGGCTAAAGGGACACCGCAAAAAAGTGGGGGTCAGTGGGGAAACCCTGACTGCCCCTGCTTGGAAGGACCCCCCATCAGCCCCAGCCCTGCCCCCCTACCCCAAGTCCCTCCAATCCCCAGGGAACCCCCAAGTCCCTCCAACACCCCCAAACTCCC